GGAGGGGGGGGGGGGGCGGGGGCGGAGCGGAAGGAGGGGTGGGGGTGGGGTGAGCCAGGGCGCAGTGAGCAAGCGGGTTCCCGCGGCTTTACCATTAAAACCCGTCTGAAATCAGGTGAAGCCTGTGAGTGGGGCTTGTGTGTTATGGGGGATTGGGATTCTCGTGGGTGCTCTGGCGGGGCCCCTCTCGGGAGCTGAGAGTCACATCCTTGAGTTCCCCGTGATTTACACTTCTGGAAGGGATACAAAGACAGACATAGAAATCCTCCCCCTGGGGCCGGCCCGTGGCTCACTAGGGAGAGTGTGGTGCTGACAACACCAAGGCCACGGGTTCAGATCCCTATATAGGGATGGCCGGTTTGCTCACTGGCTGAGCGTGGTGCTGACAACACCAAGTCAAGGGTTAAGATCGCCTTACCGGTCATCGTTTTTGAAAAAAGAAAACAAAAAATCCTCCCTCCCCCAGGTGCTTGTTAGTTGGGCGTCTGTGGATCATACTTAGAAAAACGCGATCTACAGAGCTTGTCAAGGAAGACCACCCACGGGGCTTTAGCAGCCTGACTCCGTGACTCAAGGAAACTTCTGAGAAAACAGCTCTGCTGTGTGTCTTCCCTGAAGCCTGTGATAAGTATCCTTGTTAGCATGAGTCCAACTTCCAGCCAACAATCTTCCTCCTTGACACAGGAGACGTTCTAGGGGATTGCTTTCCTTCCCTCCATCTCTAAGGAGACCTCACCTGAGAAGCAGGTCATCAGACCTTATCCCCTGGAATCTGCACATCAGCTTCTGCCAGCCCCTCCCTGCCTCCCCCTCCCCCTGCCCCAACACACAACCTGGCACAGAGTGAGCTGAGGGCCTTCTGTGGCCATGGTCACCCCTACAAAACAAAGATTCCCCAAAGTGAGAGGAATGAGTCATTATTTCCTGGGTGTGTAAGTGCCGTCTTAGAGAATCTTGGCCCAGACTTGTTCTGACATTTTAGGGAGATGGCAGCTGTAGTGGCAGCAGTAGTGGCAGCAGTGTACTTTTGGGATCTTTCCCATAAAAATAGGAAAGAGCAACTAGGAGAACAAAACCAAAATTCCATGTGCAACATCTGCAACAAATGTAGGGTGTCAAGATTCTCCTGTGGTCCCCAAAATATGAGCAGATGGGAATGAACTATCGATACTTCAAGACCCATTTCGTGTATCAGCATCTGTGCAGAAGGGTGCAGAAGGAAGCGAGGGGGCATCTGGTGGACCTGGGAACTGGAGAACCCCCAAATCGTCTTCAGGTCCTTACTGGAAAGCATGGTGGGCTGATTTGAGAACAGCAGCTGAAACTGGGAGGGACCTACTAGATTATTTCCCAGGGCTCTCGCCCATGTTACATAGTATGCACATACTATGTTGAATGAATAAAGATCAAATGACATTTCCCTGGAGATTCCTTCAAATATTTGTGGGTTGGGGCAGAAAAGAACAAATCCTGTTTTGAGTCATGGCTAAAATTCTTTATGCTTCCAAGGTGTACAAAATACTGGAATCAGTTTGGCTGCCAGACAGAGAGGCCGAGGCAGTCCTCTTCCTGAGCTTGTGAAAAGAATCACGTCCTTGGGCCGAGCCCGTGGCGCACTCGGGAGAGTGCGGGGCTGGGAGCGCAGCAGTGCTCCCGCCGCGGGTTCGGATCCTATATAGGGATGACCGGTGCGCTCACAGCGCTCACTGGCTGAGCGTGGTGTGGCCGGCCTCAAAAAAAAAGAAAAGAATCATGCCCTTACAACACACTCAGGCTCACTGTTTCATACACACTCAGTTTGGTCTGGGAAGAAGCCATCCCGCTGAGGGAAAAGAGAAGGTGATCCCCAGCTACATCAGCAGCTTCTGACATCAACTGGCTCCAGACATCCCAGGGTCTCTTTATTGAGGATCTTAGAGGAGGTTGGGGGTCTCAGCCTAGGGTGGCAGAGGGAGGTCCAGTTCGTATCAAGTCTGTGTTCAGGAAGTAGGTGCAGAGCTGCCCTTTGCCTTTGACCTTGATAACACCCCGGATGTAGCAGGTGTAGCCCAGGGACTGCAGGGCCCGGGCTGTCTCCTCAGTCACCTACAATTGGAGGGGGGTGAAGGAGTATGGGGGTGGCTCTATCCTTATCCCCCTCCCCACCATGCCTCCAATGTGGCTCCTCACTTGGATCTTGCCAAGGACTCCTGTACTCTCCATGCGACTGGCCACATTCACTGTGTTGCCCCAAATGTCATATTGCGGCTTCTGGGCCCCAATCACTCCAGCCACTACTGGTCCGTGGTTCAACCCTGACAAGGGGTGTGGTAAAGAGAGGCCCTGACAGAGGAAACTTTGAGGAGGGAGGGGGAAGAGAAAGCTCAAGGAACTGGGGAGAAGGGCCAGGGGGGTCCTTAGAAGAGAGAGAGGGATCTCCAGGGCTGGAGGAGTGTGACTTAAGGGAGGGAGTGAGCCTCATAGCTTCTGGTCCAGCAGCTTCATGTCCCATCCCAGGGAGTGAGTCTGCAGAGGGGTCCAGAGATGAGCTAAAGAGCAGCTAACAAAGGACTTGGAGTGGGAAGAGAGTAGGATGGTCAGCAGGTACCAGACTGCCCCAGCAGGGGAGGACCCTCACCCACACGCAGGCGGAAGTTGTTGAATGAGTGCTTGTTGATGACATCCAGCTTAGACCCCAGGGCCACTGCAAATTCCACCATGGTGCCAAGGTGGCTGCAGCTTCTCTCAGCATCCTGGCAATGGGCCTGCCACCAGGATGGGCCGATGAGGGCACAGCAATGAGTCCCACTATGGGCCCAGCAATGAGAGCCCAGAGGAGGTCTGTAGGTAAGGAGGGTTTGCTCTACCTGTTGTGCGTCCTGTCCAGAGGTGGCATTTAAGCCTGTGGCTGCCATGTAGGTGCTGCCGATGGTTTTGATCTTCTCCACCCCACTGAACTTGGGCTTGGAGAGCAGCTGTACAGAGAGGACTGTGTCCCTAGTGTCTCTTGATCTCTCCCTCCCCTCTCCCAGAAGCCCAGCCCCAGGCCTTTGGAGGCTAAAGGGCAAGGCTGTGCGATGGTTGGGGATGGTGGCGGGAAGGAGAGAGTTGATAGTGGGCAACGTTGCCGGCTGGAGGGGGTACGGCTGTAGGATCAGAGGAGGAGTAGTGCTGGGTGAAGAGGAGAGAATTGGCCTCATGGCCAGGAAAACAGAGTGGAGGGAGGGACTGGTGGGAAATTCTAGAATAGAGGACATAGGGTTTGGGGAACCTTTGAAGTTGTCACCTCATCAAAATCAGCAATTATTTCATTGAGCAGCCGCAGGCACTCCAGCCCCTCGTGGTTGATGTTAGATTCAGAGTAAAACTCCTTGAAGTCTGGGACTGAGGCGAAGAGGACACAAACACACTCATAGGACTGGTGGTAGAGGTCCTGGGAGAGCAGGAGGCTGGGGTGAGGGGTGTACTCACATTCTTCCCCTTTCTTTTCTTTCTTTCTGGTTTGTTTTGTTTTGTTTTGTTTTTGGTGGCTTTAGCGCCATATGGGGATCTGAAACCCTGACCTTGGTTTTACCAGCACCATGTTCTAACCCACTGAGCAACCGGCCAGTCCTGGTTCTTCCCCTTTCTGGGTCTGCCCAAGGCACTCGTCCCTGTATCCACACTCCTAGTCCTTCTGTTTAAGAAGGATTAGGAAGGAGGGAGAGGAGTGGGGCCAGGTTAGCCCTGGGATGTGACTCAGGAGTCAAAGGCTGGGTCTCATTGTGATTCCAGGACAGACAGAGGTTTGGGGTCAGGATCACCTCACCGCAATGTGAAGGGAGTTGCTCCTAGAACTGGGATCATGTCGAAGGGAATTATTTTTATATCCCATCTATTGCTAAAAGATGTTAAGTCAGCTTACAAAGGTAGCTACAATATGGAAGATAAGATAAAGCAACAATAGGAAATAGGGGCAAAGAGAAAATAAGGGTCAGACGATAAAGACGGAATCACATCTGAGGTTGGTTCACAAAATGGGTGCCACAAAGTCCTTGTAAGTCCTAGATTCCTGTTCTGAGCCTTCTAGCAGCCAATGTGAAGAGAGAAATAGCATCAGTTACAAGATTCCCTGTATCTAAAAAAGAAGAAACAAGGAGAGTTGAACTTCTCCTGATCTTGAGAGCAGAAAGCAGTCCAGGGGCATAAGTCTATGAAAAAGCCCCTGAGCTGTATCTTCCAACATCCCTCAGTATAAGCCAAGAGCATTTCCATAGCAAAGATGGCCAGGTGGTAGGGGTGCAAATAAGAGGGTGCAAATATGTGGGTGACTTTCTGATAGTCTGACTATTGTTAGTTTTCTGAGGATCTACTGCAGCATCATCCAACAGAAATTCCTGCGATGATGGAAATGTTCTCTATCTGTGCTGTACAATAGGGTGGCCCCTAGCCACATGCGGCTGTTGAGCACTTGAAATGTGGCTAGTGCAACTGAGGAACTGAACTTTTTAATTAATTAAAATTTAAGTTTTAGGGATGGCCCCATGGCTCACTCAGGTGAGTGCGGTGCTGTTAGCGTTGAAGCCGCGGGTTCGGATCCTCTATAGGGATGGCCGGTGCACTCACTGGCTGAGCGCGGTGTGGACGACACCCAGCCAAGGGTTGCGATCCCCTTACCGGTCAAAGAAAAAAAAATTTAAGTTTAAATAGCCATATATGACTAATGGCTACTACATTGGATAATACAAGTCCAGATAGATGGGTGGACTGTACGAGAGTACTTCATGAAAAAATATTTCATGAAAAAGTGGAATTAAAAGATAGTGTGGGCTGGCCCGGTGGCGCACTGGAGAGTGCGCCGCTTGGGAGTGTGGCGGCGCTCCCGCCGAGGGTTCGGATCCCATGTGGAGACCGGTTCCCGCTCACTGGCTGAGCGCGGTGCGGGTGCAACACCGAGGGTTGCGATCCCGTTGCCGGTCAGTAAAAAAGACAAAAAGGGAAGAAAAAAAAAAGATAGTGTGAATCCTTCCATGGACTTTTTGAAGACCCCTGGTATCCTTCACAGATAACTCCCATCGACATTTGACTAAGCTTCTGAAAGGTATGGAGTGGCTGTGGGTTGGAGAAGACACTCCTTCCAAGTAAGAATTTGAAATGCAGCGATTCTGTGCTCACCAAAGACAGCCCGAGACCTTGTGAAAACGGAGGCACCTGACAGGGATGAGGGCTTGGGTGACTGATCGACCCACTGCAGGGGAGTCCAGAGAGGACAGGCCAAGGCCAAAACACTTGACTAAGCTTCTGAAAGGTATGGAGTGGCTGTGGGTTGGAGAAGACACTCCTTCCAAGTAAGAATTTGAAATGCAGAGATTCTGTGCTCACCAAAGACAGCCCGAGACCTTGTGAAAACGGAGGCACCTGACAGGGACGAGGGCTTGGGTGACTGATCGACCCACTGCAGGGGAGTCCAGAGAGGACAGGCCAAGGCCAAGACTTTCATCTTCAATGAGACCCTAAGGCATCTGGGGCTCAGGAGTCAGGGGTCCGGAGTCACCTCATTGCGCCGATTCTGGCCAATGAACTGGGGGGCCACATGCGCAGGGAGCACGTTCTCCAAGAGCAGCCGAGTCAGGTTCTCCATCGTCTCTGTCTCCTCTCGCTCTTTCCTCAGCTTCTTCTTCCACAGGAAGTCCAGGCGGCAGTAATACTCATTCTGTGGATGGTCACCAGGGGGCCATGGGGAGACACAGTGCAGGGGAAGCCCCAGTTCCTGAGTGTTCATCCCCCCACTCCATGATACCTGACCCCCACTCCCCACCAGTTAGATATAAGGCTTAAGGTGCAACCATCCTTGGAGAGCGACTACCCTTGAAGCTAGACTCAAACTAGGGGGTACAGAACTGGCAGCATACTTCTTCTTAAGCATGGGCCGTCCCAGATTGGGGGTGGGAGGGAGGAAGGGTGGGGAGAACTTGTGGGCACCCCTATCAGGGAGGGAAGGCCAGCCCTGAAGATGAGAGAGAAGTCAGAAACACGGGACCCCAGCCTCAGCATTTGTAAGGAGGCCCTGGAGGGCTGAGCTGGGTGGCTTACTTGCCGAGCCAGGACAAGGAGCGTGAAGAAGAAGACGAAGCAGGAGACAGCTCCCATCAGTTTGGGCTCCTTCAGCACTCCTGGCCTGTGGAGACCATGGATCAGGGTTGCCCTTGCTCTGCCCCTTCCTGATGGCCTCCTCTCTGACCCCAGTGCCCACGTAGCCCTCAGTCTTTGCCCCGTGAGTGGTTCAGGTCAGTGAGGTGAGGACAGCTCTGCTGTGTCCCACCTCAGCCCTGTCCAGGAGGGCTTGGGCCCTCTGCCAGCGGCTGTACACACCTGGAGTCCAAGGTGCCCAGATAGAGGTGGGCGATGAGGCAGTCGGACAGCCAGGCGTGGGAGTGCAGGAAGAGGGAGCAGGAGGCCGCCAGCCACAGCAGGAGCAGCAGCAGTTTCAATTCGAAGCTCATGTGCAGAAAGAGGGAGCAGGAGAGGGAGCCCAGCACACAGCAGTGCATGGAGTACTGCAGGGCCAGGCAAGGTGGTCAGGAGTGGGCATGTTCCACAGGCAGGGGTGGGAGAACACCCCACGGTCCCTCTCCTGTCCCTCCCAGGGCCCAGGTCCTATCTAGGAGACAGGGGGTGTCATGTACACAAACACACACTGGGTGTACTATGTCTGTTCCAATCCACAGGATGGAGGGTTCTTCAACTAAGGAGGTGGGAGCGGGGTGCCAAGGAAAGGTCTGGAGGCGAAGGACTGTGCAGGAACACTCACTGGGACACTGATGAGAGGCAGGGATCCAGGGAGCTCCCAGGAGAGGTTGAAAGCCATGGAGGATACATTGGGAGCCTGGAAAGGGCAGTCCGATGATGCTGGAAAGAAGAACTGCCGAGGAGATGAGAAGCTGAGGGAGGCAGGCAGCTCTTTGGACACAAGGGTGGCTGGTGCTGGGTTTTGGCTGACTCGGGGATGAGTCAGGGCCAGACTCTTCCAAAGAGGCAGATTCTGCTATTTCTGGCTGGTGAGGGATACTGAGCACTAGGGTCCTCGCTGGGGGGAGAGATTGTGGGAGGGGTGCCGTGAGTACTAGTCTGCCACGGGTGCACCCTATGAACTCTTGCCAGCCACTTCTCCTCTCTGGGCCTTAGCTTCCTTTTCTGTAACTTGGCTGAGGAACGATTCCTAGGTGCTTTCCTGGGATAGAACTCTTGGAATGATTCTAAGTTCTGAAAAATCAGCCAAATGAGCTAAGTAATAAATATCTGCCTGCATAGAAAAAAGATAGGAAGGATATTCACCAAAGTGTTATTAACAATGATTATGCCCAGATGGTAGACTATGGCTGACTATAATTATTTTCTTTATACTTGTACATTTCCAGCATCCCCTGGCCTTAGTCCTGCTGCTCTCCCAAATCCAGGGGTCCACTTTCAGTCCCTGGCAGGTCCGGCATGCTTTGATGGGGAGGGACAGGGGCTCCTCTGCCCTCACCAGGCTGGTAACGGCCATGGCAAAGACGAGGAGGATGGTGGTGGTGCTCAGGGCTACTCGCAGTCCGGGTCGTGTGGCCACCAGGCCAGACAGAGCAGGCAGCCAGTGCAGCAACTTGGGGCCTTTCAGGACACACCTCTGTGGAGGGAGCGTGGGCCATGACTTAGTCACACGGGCTGGGCACCTTCTTCAGGACAGTTCATGGCCGGGGCTTCAGCTCACGCCTTCCACCCTCCAGCCCTCCTTACCGTCAGGTGCTCTGAGAAGCAGACAAAGAGGAGAAGGAGGAAGAGGAGGAAGGTGATGCTGTAGGTGATGGCCAGAGCTGGGGGCCTAAAAGAAGACAAGAGGAAGGCCTCGAAGTGCCAGAATAGGCTCCTTGTGTGCTGTGAGCATGCTGCGTGATCTGGTATGGAGATGGGGGTGGGGGAGGTCCTGGGGAATCCAGATTGGCTGAAATGCTGATGGCATCCAGGCTGACAAAAGACATTGTGTTCTGATGATTTGGGAAAGCTGAAGGGTTGAGGGCAGTGTTGGGGTGGAACAGCAACCAATAAGGTAGGGACAATATTGGAAGTGGGCAGAGGGCTCGCAAGAAGGGCTAAGGTTACATCAGACCAATCTCTGGGCCTTTAGGCCAAAGCTATTTAACCTGGCTGAGTTCTGAACAGATCCTTATGCCTCCTATCAGTGGACTAGGAATGAAGACCTACCTTCTTTCTTTTATTTTTTGGTGGCTGGCTGGTACAGGGATCGAACCCTGGACCCTAGTGTTATCAGCACCACACTCTAACCAACTGAGCTAACTGGCTGGCCCTGAGGACCTACTTTCTAAGCTCACTCACTTGCTATGAGATTTGGGCTTCTCAATGGGAACAAAACCTTCATGAGGATGTTGTTAGAGCCAAAAGACACAGGCATGTGAAAATGGTGGGGTTATGTCCACAGGATGTATGATATCAAGATGAGCACTGTGATTATCACTGGTTTCCCAGCACACGTGTTTCCTGTGTGGGTAAGTGTCTGAAGCTAGGGAAAGGGTTAATGGAACAAAATGTGGGTCAAGGATCATGAAGGGCAAGGGGATCAGTATATGAGAGTCAGGGCCTCCCTTTCCTGGGGCTCTCTCACCTGTTTGTCACCAGCATCTGGATGATGAAGTTGGAAAGAAAAACCAGGAAGGTGCAAGCTGTATAGTATTTGAAGGCAGGTAGTGCAGAGAGTCGATACTGGAAGGTAGGGGGTCAGGGGTAGAGATAGTGTACCTTGAAGGTATCAATCCCAGGCAAAGGATGGGTTCCTCAGCCTCACCACCTCACCCTCTAGTTCAGTTCCATGTAGCCCCAGCCAGTTCTCCAAGGAGCTACCCTCCTTCCTCCCACCACCACCAGGTAACTCAATCGACAGGGTGACTTTCCTTTTGGAGAAAGGCACAAGCCCCTCACCCCCAGATCACAAGCTGAGCAGACCTGGGGAGATAAGGTGGAGACACAGGGCCAGACACACACACACACACACACACACACACACACACACACACACACACAGCCAAGGAACTAAAGCTGGGAAATCCTTTGATACCCTCCACCCACCTCTTTTTCCAAGTCCTTCTGTCTGAAGTACAGTGTCAGTGGGTTGAAGTCCTTTGACTGCCTCCACTGTCTGGTGGGAGGTTGGGCGTAGTAAGCATAGGAGAGAAATGGGCAGGGCAGGGAGACGGCAGGAGGGGTGATAAGGCGAGTCTTCCCCCCAGGGAAGCCCCTCTCTCCCTCCAGACCCTCAGGGGAGCACCTTCCTTCTTCCACCACATGACTTCAGGGCTACCAACCCTCCCAGCCCTCTTTGTTGTCCGTACTTCTGAGAGTTGAGCTGCTCAATGACCTGGAAGAACTTGGCATCCCCAGTGTCCAGCTCATCATCTAGTCCCCTGGGGGTACGGCTCCTGCACAGTGAGAGCCAAGCCTGTCACCACAGAGACCCTCAAAAGCATCTGGGCAAAGCAGGAGCAGCCCCTCAGGGAGGATGGAGGCTGGTCACACAGACAGCCCCACTGTGCAAGATGCTCAGGCCTCCTCACCGGTCCAGGCTCCACTGGGGGCTGAAGGAAGCCATGGCCTTCTCCTGTGGGGAGAACACATTGGGGGCGGTGGGGGAAAGATGATGAGTGTTGCCCCCGCAGTGAGGCAGACCATGAACTGCATTGCACGCTCTACATGCATCCTTGACCTTGACCTTGACCTGGCTCTTTCCCCTGCCTCTGATGACTTCTCTCTCACTCTCTCCACCAAATCCCACCTGCTCTTGAAGGGGAGGTTTAAACCCCACTTCCTCCTTAAAGGTTCCTCCTGACTCTTTAGAGCCAGGGTCTTTAAACCCTTTATTTCCTCATGGTTTCTATCACTTACTGGGCAACACTTTGTCTTCTATAGGCCTGAGTGGCTGTTTATTCTATGTCACTTTCCCTAAAGACTGCCCAAATTCGAAAGGCAAGGACTTTCCCAACAACCTTGGATGCCAAAAAAATTCTTGTTGGTTTAAATTGAAGTGACAGTACAGAACATTCTGACTCCTCTCACCTTCTGTGCAGTCAGCCAGGCTGAGCTGAGAGGTGATGGGGGCAGATAACAAAGAATGGAGAAGAAAAGGGACGAGAAAGGGAAAAAAATCTGTTGACAATCATTCTCTTCTTCACCAAAAGGAATGCACCGTGTATGCAGAGATATGAAAATGAGCAGGCAAATAAGTAACTGCAGAGAGAGAGAGCAGGGTTCTGCGGCCTCTGTCCAGGACAGGTAGTATGGTGACCATTCCTCCCTGTTCCCCTTGGCTCATGTGAAGGAAGCAACATCACAGGGTCACATCACCCCCCAAACAAAAACCTGATGAATGGAAAAAGGTGAGGGAGAGGGAGAGGGAGATATTGAGAGAGAATGGTGTGTTCTAAGTACGTGCCCATCTATGCATCTACACCTGGGTCTACCTTTTTTCAAACTACTTCCCTGCCCCTCCCCCCAATGCTTGTAAGTCATCTGAAGGCAGGGAACACATCTTGTTCATTTCTATCTTCTCAAAAACAAGCCTAGTGCCTGCCACAGAGCAGGTGGTCATAAAACATGGAAGAAAAGGATGAAGGTACGCAGTGCAAACACTGCTCCACCACTCCGAAGTTGCACACTGCTTATGAGTAAGTGGATGGGGGTTCTCAGGACTTCTAACATTTGACTGAGCCCCTGGGATTTCAGGGACCAAAAAGTGAATTTCTGGGCTAGTGAGGTCCTGCCTCAGGCTCACCTCAGAGAAGATGCAAGGTCTCCAGACCCTTGAACAGGGGGTTCCTGCTTCTCCACCCTGAGGCTTCCCAGCCTGCACACCAGTGGAGAGTAGCAGGAGGTCTAACATGGGCTCTGGCAGGCATTTCTACCATGGGAATTGCTCCCAAGGTCATCTCACCATCCCTGGGTTTATAGCAAACCCCACATACTACTTTACCCCCACCCTGGAGGCCTCATCCTGCAGCAGTCAGCCGGGCCTTGGACTCTTCCTTCCTCTCCCTCCTGCGAGCTTAATCCTTCTGACCTCTCCCTTACCCCATGTTGAGGCTTGGAGTTAAGTGGTCCCCTAAGGCACTGCTGCCAGTTTCCCCCCTCCCCTCACTCCCCAATGTCAGGGGATTGAAGAAGAGGGTGTGCAGTTGCAGGAATTCAGTTAAACAGAGAATTTCCTGGTGGGATGGGTGTGCAGCACTGGAATCAGAGTCAGGAGGAAGTGGGGTCTATGCCTTTGTGGTGCCAGGGGAAGGGGCTCCCCTGAATTGCTGTGCTTTGAATGTTTCTCCCAAGTTCATGTTGGAATTTAACCCCCAATATGGTGGTGGAAGGTGGGGCCTTTAAGAGGTGATTGGATCTCAAGGATTGTGCCCTTGTGAATGTATTGATCCATTCATGGAGTAATGGGTTGATGGTTTCATGGCGGCCATGGGCGTAGATCTGACGGCTTTATAAGGAGAAGAAGTGAGAAGGTTAGCCCTCGGTCTTGCCGTTCTCGCCATGTGATACCATGGGACCCTGTAGAGAGTCCCCGCCCAGAACTAGGCCCTCACTAGATGTGCCCCCTGGACTGTGAACTTCCCAGCCTCCAAAACTGTAAGAAATAAATTTCATTTGTTTATAAATTACTCAGTTTCAGGTATTCCATTATAAGCAGCAGAAAACAGACTAATACATGAGCGGAGGTAGGGGAGCAATGGACATGGTGTCTATGGGGACCTTGCATCTTCTTTAAGATAAGCTTGGAGGGCAGTGATCTTTGCTCCTTCTCTGAAAGGAAGGGCAAGGAAGGGCCTGAACCAGTGACTGGGGTGACCACACAGTTCAGGACCTTGGGATGTCACAAATCATCCAGTGACTCACTGGCAATGGGGGCAGGGGAGTCTGAGAGTGGGTCCTAAGGACAATGGGGGTGTGTTTACCTAAGTGCTAGGGCCCACAAGGAAGGTGCACATACCGGGAGAGGGGTGGAGGTGGACACAGGGCTGTCCACGTGGCTCAAGTGGGCAAAAGGCTTGGCTGCACCCCAGGACTCCAGGTAGCGGGTCATCAGCAGTGACGGACGCATCTTGGGGCCCTCAAGAGAGGACAGCAACCCTCCTGCAGTGCCCTTCTCATCCTCTTCGGCCTGGGACATGTGAGGGCCGAGAGTAAAGATCACAGATGCTTCTCCATTCCCCCCCACCCTTTAGAGGCTTGCACATCCTCCCCTGTCCCCCCTGACGCCCCAGACCCAGTAACTCAATCTCTGCATAGGAGAAGAGATTAGATCTGTTGGCTGTGGGGTGGTTTGGTGGGCCAGCACATGGTGTCCATCTAGGCTGGGCTTTTACCCGGGGATCGATGACCAGGTAGGTGGGCTCCCCTAGCTCCCGAAGGTATGGGTCCCGGTGTTCCATGGGTGCATCCTCCACAGCATAAGCCCCTGCCAGCAGGTCCAAGGTAGCCCCTGTGATATGCACTCGTCTGGAAAGAGGGAGCAGTGGGAGTCAGCAGGGAGGGCCTGCAAATATCTTTCAAAGATAATTCATGGAGGTCTGACTTAGAGAAAGACCCTGGGTTACAAGAGGTGCCTCCCAGCTCCCCTCCCTGCATCCCAGAATCTCCCTGAGCCTCACATGGGATTGTGCTCATCTTAAGGAACTATAAAAAGGGTGGCAGTATGTGGAGAAGCCTGGTTGGCCTTCTGCTGTACTGCCTGGGGCCCCAGGGCTCACCCTGGTACACCGCCCGCCTCCATGTGGTTGGCCAGTGTGACATCATGGGACCAGACATCGTACTGCCACTTTTGCAGCCCGATGACTCCGCAAAGCACATTGCCCGAGTGCACACCCACACGCATGTTGATATCCACGCCAGTGGCTGCCCGCAGTTTCCTGAGCAGAGTGTACGAGACAGTTTGAGTCCTGCTTTCAGTCCTACCCATGCCACACTTCTTCTCTCAAGTGGGACTTCCACCACTCTGCCTGCCCCCTCCCACATCTATCCTTCTGTATTCCTCCTGCCCGCCCACCTGAGCTGACCTGATGGCCCGACACATGTCCAGCCCCATGCGCACACAGTTGATGGCGTGGTCTGGCAGTGAGAGTGGCAGTCCAGAGACACAGTAGTAACAGTCCCCCAGGATCTTGATCCGCATGCATTCATGCTCCTGGGAGTGTGTGGGGGTGTGTGTAGAGGAACCTGGTTAGAAGCCAGAGGGGTAGGGGGGAGTTGGGAAAAGTGGGGAGCAAGTGTGCTATTCATGAAGAACTTCTGAGGTTGGGAGTGTCTAGGTCAGATCTAAATATTCCCTTAAATTGATATGGGGATGACTGAGGTCTCCCATGCAGATCTCTTTCTCAGAAGGGTTTCCCAAGGCTGGGATGTTTGTGGCTTTCCCCAGTTTTGGCATGTGTAGGGTGTACCTAAATTTGGGCATATGAAAGTAGCCTCAGGATTGAGGGGTTGTGGGGAGGACCTAAGAACTTGTTACTTGGGGGCATCCCTGGGGTCAGAGCAGGTGGCTGGGCTGAGGTTGCACAGGGCAGAATTTTCCCTTGGAAGGGCTTCCCAAGGTCAGAGCATCCGAAAATCTTTCTGGATTTGGTTGTAGTGTCCAGAGACACATGTTGGGGCTCTAAGCATATTTGGAGGCATTGCAGTTGGGATATTTATAATGATGAGAGGTCTCTCCAGGTTAGAGATGTATGGTGAGCAGCTTTGTGACGGGGAATGTTTGAGAGGTTTTCTACTTCCATTGGAGCATCTGGGAGCTCACATGGGCTATGAAGTAGGATTGGGATCTTATAAGGTTGGAGTTTCCCATGGAAGGGGCTCCCCAGGATGGGATGTTTCAGGGTCCCTGGGTGGGAAGGGAAGCCCCCTCTGACCTTGGCAATCTGGTCGAACTTGCCAAAAAGCTCGTTGAGCATGAGCACCAGCTCCTTAGGGGAGCACTCGCTGGCCAGCCGTGTGAAGCCCACGATGTCAGCATACAGCACGCTGTGCAGAGCAGACTGTGTCGGTGGGGCTAGGGACTGAGGCCACGGGCCCCTCCTCTCCAGCCATCTTTCCTCATACCTGACTCCCTCGTGCCTCTTGACATAGAGGCTGTGGAAGTTGTTGGTGCTCTCCGGCCGTGACCCCTGTCCAGCCTGCAGCCGTGCCATGATCTCTGCCTTCATCTCTTGGGCCAGGTAGGCAGGAAGGATGGACAGGAGAAGGTGTTCCTAGAGAAGGTCACTATGAGCACCAGCCCTCCGGCACCCTAAAGCCAGGAGTCCCAGTCCCCCAAACCACCTAGGCACTGCCCCACCCCCAGCAGGTGCTCTCCGGCATACTACCCAGGTCCCCCAGCCACTTATATAGCAGGGCTCCAGCACCTCGTCCTGTTCTGATCACCTTTAGGGACTGAGCTGCCAGCACTGACGCCTGCATTAGAGTTCTTCACTTAATACCATAATGTTTTAAGGTGCTTTCATAAGCTTCGATTTGTTTGAGCCTAGCAACAGTCTTCCGAGGTGTATGCAAGAGAGGAACTTGCCCAAAGCCACTCAGCTTGTGAAGGAGCCCGGTGACATAATCTAAACATCTTCTCCGTCGGAGCACTAGTCCCGCCGCTTCTTGCCTGCTAGGGCCGGCTCACCTGGTGCTTCTTCTCTGTGTCCAGCCGCCGGCGCGAGTGCAGGGAGCTGAGCGCCTCTCGGAACGTGGCGCGCAGCGCGCGCTCCATCAGCGCCTTGTGGTACGCTCCAGCCACGTTCCCGCACAGGAACACCACCGCGTTTGCTGCCAGCTGTGGGTCAGGGCCGGTCTCAGAGGGCGCCGGACCGGGTGGGGCTGGAGGCGGCTATGTACATAGCTAGAAATGGTCTGGAAGATGGGCTGGGGAGGATCGGGCTCTACAGTTAGGGACCTACGTATTGCGGGACAAGTGGTGCCACACTGTGGGATCCATAGGGGCGTTTCCCCTCCCCCACGCTCGCTTCTCGACTATAGCTGCTGCGTCACCATAGTCTCAGGTGTAGAAACCTTTGCGTGTACGTTTCCTCTGCCTGGAACACCACCCCACCATCCCGACACCCGACACCACGCCCATCGCACAAACTACTCAAGTTCTGATTTTACATTCTCTGTGAAGGTTCCATCATCCACATCTGTCGCCACCTCCCTAACCCCCGGGCGAACCACGACTCCCTTCCCTGTGGGCCCAGAGCCCTCTTCTGGTATCAGCAGGCACCGCGCTGCTCTGGCGCATCGGGTTCAGAAGGGCACGGTCGGGGTCTAGCTGTGTTTGTGTCCTGGCCCAGCCCCGCGCTCTGCCTTGGAGTCCCAGATCTGCAAACGCCCAAAGGAACCTCGCAGAGCGCGGCAGAGTCGGCCCTGGGCGCAGCCTGTGCTGCTTGTGTGCTCACCTGCGGCAGCAGCGCGGGCCGTGAATACGGCTGTGGCCCCAGGTACAGACCGAGGACCAGCAGGTGCGAGAGCGACGAGGCGAGCCCCGCGATAGCGGCGTCCCGCATGCCCAAGGGCAGCATGGCATATACCGTGAAGATGACGAAGAGGAAAAAGGACACCTGCGGGCGAGGCGCGGGAAGCTTAAGACCTACGCTGCGCTTCTCAAGACGTGGGTGCGGGTTTGAGGCCGCGGCGTTCCCTCCCCTCCTCTCCTGCCGCCCCTCTCACCTGGTCCCAGGCGCTCACCACGCCCGCGGTGAACAGGAAGCCGTGGCCTAGGGCGAGCAGTGCGGCCCACACAAGGCCAGACAAGGGACGCGTCCAGCGCTGCAGTCGCTGCTCGCGGGAAGCCAGGCCCAGCAGCAGAGAGAAGCCGCCCAGCGCGCACAGCACAGTGGTCAGGAAGCTCGCGTCTGAGGCCAGCTCCTTCGGGGAAGGGGTGTGCGAGGCGAGATTGTGATGGGGCGTTTGGGGAGCTCGCCCTAGGCCAGGAGGAACGAACTAGATAGAGGAAGAACGGGCAGCTCCCCAGGCCAGTTCTGAGGGGTTTCAAACCCAAGTACGAAAAGGAGGCTGGGCACCTCGGCTGGTTTGCCATTCACATTTGGTGGAGCCATATGAAATTGCCAGTATCCTACTGTTTTAATCTAGAGTCCACAATCTCGTATAGTCCAACCAAATATTTCACTTGCCTGCTGCGGGTGGCTGCTGAGCCTGGGACATCTACCCAGAAAACCTGGCTCCAACCTATATTTGCTATTTGTGAATCCATGACCTTTCTGAGCCTCAGTTTTCTTATCTGTCAAACGGAATCATGGCACCCACCTGGGGTCCCGAAGCAATGAAGGATCCTAGCTCACAAGAAAGCAGTTAGGAATGAATTTCTCCAAATCTGGCCAATTGCTCGATTCCCCGCCCCAGGGGCCCGCAGCTCGAAGCTTCGGGGATGGCGCGAAGCAGCGCTCGGGCAGCAGGGGGCGCCCGGGACTCGCCGCGCCCAGCACCTCCCTTGCCGTCTAGGCTGTGACCTCGCCACCTGTCTCAGCTCCCGGCATGGAAGTTCCATCACTGTCCCCGCCCTTTGTCCCCACCTCTTCCCGGACTTCGGGGTGGACCAACAAGGACTGGCCGCGCCCAGTGATTTTCCCACCTTGCCTCTAAGGAGTGAAAAGAAAACCTGGAGCAGGCTATTTCCAGAAATGAAATTGAAGACCCTCTTCCTCTCAAAACAGAAAGTGGAAATGATTTATTTTAGTGCTAAATGAGAGTAGAATGAAGGGTGACTTCTGGGAGTTTGTGGGTACAACTGCCCCACATCCCTTAAGAGGGAGAGAAAACCAGGAAATGAATTCCCCCGGGGTCTGAGTAGAATTTCCCCTCTGGAAAATTGGAAAATCTGGTGTTGGATTCGTTCTGGAATCCGAAGACCACAGAAGCTCATAAAGTCTGTCAAGGACTGGGAGAGAAATTAGAAGCATCCAGGACTCAGCTACTTCCCTGTGCAGACACAGAGACCATGGCCCAGAAGGGTGGAGTGACTTGCCCAGGGTCACTACAGTTCTTAGCAAGGGTCAACGTTTCTTTCTTGGCTCTCAGAAAAAAACATTGAAAAGAAGACCCACAAATCCCAACCTCAAAAATGTCCCCTAGGCTGTTGACCCTCCCGCCGCGACCCTGCAGCAGCGACGTGGCCGTAGAGGAGGCCCCTGCTGTACGGCCA